TAGTTGCAATATGCATATTTACACCCAGCAAACATTTACTGCATGTTTAAAAGTCCTTTGAAGACAATGAGATGCCTCCTACTACTCTTAAAAGTGGATCCAACTGCAGAGAGGAATTCCAGAACACAGCTGATCCTTCAAAGCATTGGTTGTAGGTCCATACTTTTTCTTATTTGCTTAAAACAATATTTCATCAATATTTTACATTTTGGGGAAATTTAAAATATCCCACTTCCAAGCCCGTAAAAAGAGGTTAAACTTCTTTTTGAAAAGAGAGATAAAATAAATAACATTTCCATCAGATGTGTCAGAAATGTATAGATCTGCGATTTCTTTCTTAAATATCTGAACGGAGACAATTAGTGATATGAAAGAAACCAGGATTTTTTTTCTCCTCCCTGCATAAGAAGCACCAGCCTTCATGATAACTATAGAAGTAAAGACCCATACTATTGATATACGAAAGGGGTGGAAGCCAGTGGCATTTGAATTTTTGTGCCCACTAAGAAACATGGGATCTTGTGTTGCCTGTGTAGTTCCACCATAGATTTAGCCTTTCATACTGAGTGTAGGCAAAACGTGTTCATATAAAATGGCTGTGAGAGTCTTTGGCCAACTCAGTGTGACTCTGTGACCTGGGTGCATTGTGGTTCCTTTTAGCCCAACCTTTCTCAGATTCTAAAAGACATTACAGAATGAATCAATCCTGGCTTCAAAATGTGTCCTCTCTGTGACAGGAACAGCCACCTAGGGAAAAATACAAAGTCACATCAAGTTGGCCAAGGAATGCAACAGAGGGAGGGCAAGGGGAAGTGGCCTGCAGAAATATGTTGCTGACCAGAGTTAAACCAGTAAATCTTCGTTATATGTCCCAAGATATTTTGCACAAACCACGGTGGCCTAATGTGTTTTACATAATCCGGAATGGCTAATAGGGAAGAAAGAAAAAAAAAAGGAGGCTTAACGATGAAGACTGAAAAGAGAAGCATTCAGGGAGTGAAAGGACAGGGGGAGTCAAGAGAGTAGGCAGGAGGGAAGAGGAAAGAAAGAGGCAGAGAGGAGGTGAAGGAGAGAAAAGGTGAGGGAAAAGAGAAGGAGGTAAGAGCCACGGAAGACAGCTGCCCGGTTGGAGCTGTTAGATTATCGCTAGCACTGACAACCCAGGACTGCACGAGCACCAGTACGGATAGTGAAGGGTAAGGCTGATTCCCTGCCTTGAGGCCCTCACTTGCTTGGAAGTACTCAGATAGCACCAGGGTAGCTCATGTCTTCTGCAGCTACTTTCCACTCTCACCCTCAATTTCTTCCTCTCTTCTTTCCTTCCTCATTTATCTCCATCACCATTCTCTAAGGCTTCCTTTATGCTCTGTCTGTACAAATGCAACCCACACATCTACTCTGCATCTATACTGGCATGATTTTGCGCAAAATCTTAACACCTGTCTACACTGGCCACTAGTATTTGTGCAAGAATACTGACTCTGTAATGTACAAAATCAGTGGTTCTTGCACAAATACTTTGACGCTCCCGCTCAGGGATAAGCTCTCTTGCGCAAGTATTCTTGCGCAAGAGGGCAAGTGCAGAAAACCACCTTAATTTTTGGCACAAGAAAGCTAAAATGGCCATCGGAGCTTTCCTGTGCAAGAGAGCATCTATACTGGACATGGATGCTTTTGAGCAAAAATGAATCTTTTTCACAAAGGCACATGCTAGTATAGACGCTCAATTGCGCAAATGCTTTTAACGGAAAAAATTTTCCGTTAAAAGTATTTGCACAAAATTTTTCCAATCTAGACGCAGCCCTAGGGTACGTCTAGACTACAGGATTTTGTGGACAGATGCTTTGTCGACAGATACTGTGGACAAAGCTTCTGTCGAGAAAGAGCATCTAGACTACATGCCGCTTTGTCAACATGAGAGTGTAGACGCAAAGGACAGTGTAGATGCAATAATGGCTTCTGTGGACTCTGTCGATAAAAGGCAGTATTCCTTGTTGAATGAAGCTTACCGCTGTCGACTAAACTGCCGCGTTCTATCGACATTATGTTGGGAGAACTCAGTGGTAGCGTAGTGGCAGCTATAGTTTTGCAGACAAAAGTCCACTTGTGTCAACAAAACCCTGTAATCTAGACACACCCCTAGTGAGGTTCGCTATCCCATGTAGTGGCACTTAGACTATTTACAGTGAGAGTTAAGTACAAGGGCGCTCTTCAACTGGTTGGCTTTATAGTTTGAGCTATAGAAGCTCTTACACTGAGATCCCAGGTTCCAATCTGCCTGGTGGTGGTTCCACAAGGCATCACTGCATCATTCAGAGGAGAAATGCTGCTTGGTCCTACCCTCTTTTCATCCTGCCTCCAGCTCTGGCATTAAATTCTCTAACGCTCCCTTTTTCTGAATGCCCAGTTACCTGAAACTGGAAGATGTCCCCTAGGCCACTCGGATAAATGGGAGTGCACTGTATAAGGACGTGTGAGGTACTTGTATATTTCATTAACACATTGAATCGTCCCAGTCTAGAAATTAGGCCTTGCAGTACTGTTTTATCTGTCTTGGTCTTTTTTTGAATCAACTTCTGCTGTTGAGAGAGACCACCCTTATCTCCTGTGACCCACACAGCTCCTATAAACATGCAAAAATATCTTTTGGATTAAAATAATTTTTCTAGGGATTACCTGTGTGCTATGAATACAGGAAATCGCTGTCACCTCTCTGTCATGCTGTCAGTTCTCCCCAATGCTATTGAGTCAGGAGAGAACTCAATAGTTATAAGAGCATGTTCAATAGACCTCTATCTGGAATAGTCTAGACAGTACTGGCTCCTGCCATGAGGGCAGGGGACTGAACTCGAAGACCCCTCGAGGTCCCTTCCAATTCTAGTGTTCTATGATTCTATGATCAGCTACATACCTCCAGATAAGCTACTACAAGTGGGCCTCGTCCTCCTTGATAGGATTCACCTTGTTATCTCTAACCTGTTTCTGTCCTCCATATTTATACTTGCCTTTGGAAATTTCCACTACATGCATCTGACGAAGTGGGTCTTTGCCCACGAAAGTTTATGCTCCTACACTTCAGTTAGTCTTTAAGGTGCCACAGGACTCCTTGCCGCTTTTATGATTCTATGATCCATCTTGAGCCATGAAGACCCTTTCCTACATCTTTGCTGTTGTCTTCCTGTACTAATGCCAAGCCTCACGTTCCAAGAGAAATGTAGTTCCCGTTCTTTTCCTCTCTAGCGCCTCTGTGGTTTGCAGGTGACACATGACATTTTGTCAGGGGAATTTTCCTGAAGTCACGGAGATGCCTTTACTGCCACCCTGTGGAGGTTTGCTCTGCAAATATTCTTAGTCTAACAGGTGTAAGCAGGGTCTGAATCACGGCTTCCAATGCAGCCAGTTGGAAGGGGAAAGGAATCCTGGATGTGGTTATGCTCACTCAGACTTGTTTTGCTCTGCCAGGTATTCAACTGTTGTTATGTAAATACAGTTCAAGCTGGAATGGGTAAGAAATCCTGGGTGTGGTTATGTAAATACAGTTTAGTCAGTGCTCTAGGCCAGTTGGACGGTTAATTGTTAGAATGGTATTTTACCTATTATAACTAATTTGGCTGTTGTGGGGTCGCAAACCATGTTAACCCTAAATGTAGGAATTGTAAAATATGACCACCAGTGCTTACGCTTTCATTGTAAAGAATCTCAGATGGACAAGCCTTTCCCTTCCAGACTCAAGTGAAGTGAATGGGTGGGTGGAGATGCAGGGGAGCAGAACTCTGAACCAGAAGCTACACGCCCTCCAGGCATGAGCTGTATGACTGGTTCAACCTGTTTCTCTTATTTTCCACCACACCTCCCTCCCCCGCAATCCCGTTCTAATGATAGAACAAAATCAGACTCCATAAGGGGTCTCTTTATTTTCTGTCGGCCTGCGCTGTGGGCCAAGAGCTGAAATTACTGAGAAGCTGGGATCACAAAGAGCTGGAATCACTAGGTTTGGCCCAGATCCAAACCCATCACCAGCAGGTGGGCAGCTGGCAGCAGGGAGCTGCCAGCAGGCAGCAGATGGCTGGCAGGGGCGCCTGT